CCCTTCTCCCTCCCCCCTTTCCCGGGAGCAGGGGCCATGGGGGTGGACTGTCCCTTCTTTCCCCCCCTTTCCTGGGAGCAGGGGCCATGGTGAGAGGACCCAGCATAGCAGGGAAACAGCAGTAGTTGTTTTTTAAAGGTAAGAACAGGAGGTAGAGCAAAAGCCATCACATAAATGAACATAATTCCAAGATGCACCTAAGGAGGACGAGAGCAGTTCTGGGCACAGGAGGAACAATAGGAGGAAACAGCCGTGGGAAAGGAGATCTGCCTTACCGGTTAGAACAGTGGCTCTCACGGGGACATTGGTTACTGTCACCCGGAGTTCCATCTCTCTGTCCCTAGTGGGAGTGGGGTCCTTGGGGCTCCGCTGGAAAAAGCATTTCCAGGGCCCCCACGGGAGGAGGAGATGTGGTTGAAGACTTTATTTCATAGAGTTACATTCCTCGGGTCCCAAAGTGCCCTCTCCCGCGACCCAGCTCTGACAGGGGCAGCGGGGACTCCAGCAGAGCTGAAAGCCCAGCCAGCGTCCAGGCCGCCTCCCAGCAGAGCCGCCTGATGTCGCCTCAGGCTGGTCACTGTCCGTTAGGCCAATACATGGGGTCACCTGGCGTGGGCCGCGTGGGCCGCGTGGGCAAGGGCAGGGCAAGCTGGGAGTGGGTGAGCAGCAGAGAGGGGGAGCGCTCCTTTGTCCAGGAGTGAAGTCTCTTCGGTTTCATGCCCTGGCAGTGGCCACGCCCATTCTGGCCACTGACCTGTTCCCAGTGTGACTGACAGTGGGCACCTCCCCACTGGGCATGCGTCTGTGTCCAGTCCCTGCCCCAGCGACAGTGGAACAGACCTGGGCGTGACCCCTGCAGCCGCGTGGGGACCCGTGTGGACGGCGGCCTGTGTGAGTGCCTCCCCTGCCCGCCTGCCTGTCAGTCACACCCAGGTGATGAACAGTGTCGCCCTGACTGGCAGCAGGTGGGCAGGGCAGCCGGCTGTGGCGCCCGTGAGTAAAGGCCGGGAGGTGGCTACCACCCTGCAATGCACGGAACCAGCGGCTCCGGGGGTGGGCTGGGGCGGCTAGGACGAATGCCACAGGCTGGGCGGCTCAAACAGCAGACATTTATTTCTTCACCGTCCTGGGGGCTCGAAGCCCATGAGCCAAGTATTGGCAAGTTTACTTTCTCCTGCGGCCTCTCTCCTCGGCCTGCGGCCACCTCTCCCCACGTCTTTCATTCCCACGGTCGTTCCTCTCTGTGTGTCTGTCCTTCCTCCTCCTCGGATGAGGGCCGTCCTGTTGGATTCGGGGCCCGCACAATCTCACTTTAACTTAACTACTCGCTAAAGACTTGTTTTCAGATGGGATACCTGCCGTTCCCAGGCGCTGGGGCTAGGACCCCACACACGCCTGTGGGGGCCGCAGTTCAGCCCTGATACAGCCCAATGCCAGGCCGGAGGCTCGGGAGCCGGTCACCTGGGGCGCTGGCACGTCCTCCAGGAGGAGTTCAGGAGAAGCAGGGCTTCCAACGGCTTTTCTACGGGAGCTGAGCGCCCCTTGGCCATTTCCCTCCCGTCACGCTGCTGTCCCTACCTTCCCTTCCAGACTGGAGCCCATTGGAGCCACCGCCAGCAAAGAATACTCCCTGGAGAAAAACTTGGAGAAGATGAAGTCGGAATGGGTCAACATGACATTCAGCTTCTCCAAGTACAGGGACACGGTGAGTCTCGGCCAGGACAGCCGGACCGCCCTCCCCACAGCCGGGCCGCCCTCCCCACAGCTGGGCCGCCCTCCCCAGACCCGAACCACCCTCCCCACACCCGGGCCGCCCTCCCCAAACCGGACCGCCCTCCCCACAGCTGGGCCGCCCTCCCCAGACCCGAACCACCCTCCCCAGACCCAGGCCGCCCTCCCCAGACCAGGACCGCCCTCTCCACAGCCAGACCGCCCTCCCCACCCCTGGCACCACCTCGCAGCTCTACAGTCCCCTGTTCCCCTCTCCTTGGGGGAACCGTTAGGGTCTGGTCTCTCAGCCGCCTGGAAGGTCAGCGCAGTGCTGCTCACTGTCAGCGCTACAGCCATCAGAGGCTGCTGCCTGTGTCTGTTACCCTTCCCCTGGCCACCCTGAGGAATGCATTTTCAAATGAGAAATGCCTTTTGATTCAGAGCAACAGGGGGAGCAAGCCTCCTGAATTGCCTCTCCCAGGGACGCCCAGCCCCTCGAAGCTGCCTGGAGTAAACAATACTTAGCGCTTCTCACACACACAAAAAAAAAAAAAAAAATCCCAGTAGGTTCTCCCTCTCTCCGCCCCCAAAGTGCCTGGACATCTGTATTTTTAAGGCGCCCCGGGCTTTCTAATGTGCAATGTGTCTGAGAGCTAAAACCCTAAAGCAGGGGTGGGAGTGTCTGGCCTGCATAAGGGACCCACGAAGTCATTTGGTCTGGCCCTGCATTAGGGGTGAGTTCACTAAATGTTCGAAAAAGAGAGCAGGCTCATTTTTAAGTGGAGAATTGAGTATGGCCCGAGAATGATGTCACAAATATCCAAATGGCCCTTGGCAGGGGTTCCCCACCCCCACCCTAAAGGCTCCCACACCCCTCCTCCCCGGAGGCCACAGGTGACCTTTTCTCTTCTCTCCCCTTCAGTTTCAATAGTCAGGAGGCCTTGATTTCACCTGGATAAGCCAGTGGCAGGGAGGGAATTGGGGGCCTCTCCCAGCAGGACCAGGCGCCTGGCCCGCAGGTCAGGTGCGCTGCACTGTCTGCCTGGAGGAGAGGCTGAGGTGAGGAGTGAGCTGGGAGACCTGGGAGCAATAGCTTCGTTCCTGTCGACCAGTCCAGGTGTTGCCCAGGGCAGCTATAGACCAGGATCAGCACAGGTTAGACACCCGCCCAGTGCAGAGCGACTAGTAAAAGGTTGGTGGACGAGAAACATAGCCTAGCCCCCACTTAGCCACCAGATGTGGGCTTGAAGGAAGTGACAGCAGAGTGAGAAAGACAGGCCTGCGGCAGGGGGCAGAGCCGGTCGGCCTCTGGCCTCGGTGCCCCGGAGGAAGAGTGTCGTGCACGGGCCGGACCCGCTCCTAGACTGTGGCCCAGAAACGCACTGGCAGAGGCTCCCGAACTTTCTCGGTTCCTGTTGCCTTTTGTGTCATCAATGTCGTACTTTCTTCATGGTTCCCCTCCCCAGAGCAAAAGAAATAGCTCACAGCTCTGTTGTTACGTAATTAGGTTCAAACAGTAATATCCGGGTCCTGTCACCTTCACTGTTTGAAAAAATACGTAGAAATTTGTTAACGTAAAAACATTCAAACCTGTAAAGAATTTTTGTGAGTTTATTTGAGCCAAACTGTCGACGATTGCTGGGAAGCAGAACCTCAATGGATTGGTATAGTGCTCCGGAGAATGGCGGGTTACATCTGTATTTACACATTGCAACCAAAGGAGGGCCGGAGGTGGGTTACATGAAGTCAATGGTGATAGACTAGAGAGGCAGGAGAAAGCAAAACGGGGTGGGCCTGGGATTGGATAAGAAGTAAAATGATGGACACATACTTAGGTGGGTGCAGGATCAATTAACATGATAATGAAGGGATTTGTGGTCTCTGTCCTGGCGCCCAGCACATTAGGTTGTGCCCCAAGGGGTCCAGAAAAAGGGAAGTTACAAGTTACCCAGACATTTCAAGGGTATGTTATCAAAGATGCAAAAAGAGACATAGACTCAGTTAAGGTAAAGGTTGACCTTGTCAGTGAAGAGACCGGCCTAGGAGTGACTATCCACCATAACTGTTTTTAGTTTAAGTTTAATTTCAGACCATCCTTGTGGTTACTTTAGGTCTGAGTTTGCAAGACCGCCATGCAGGCCTTCCCTGAGCTGTCAGGTTAGCATGTGGCCCCTTTCGTCCACAAATTGAAAGAAACACATTTGTATTTTCTTTTTAAACATTCCCAGTGATTTGCTGTGAGTTCACTGCAGTGCCCTGGGCTCCTTGGCACACAGTTTGAGAACCACCATCTAGGCCTGGCCAAGCTGCTGGGCAGGGCCCCTGTGGGCGGCAGGAGAGCGAAGGGCAGAAGGTGGGAGCACAGGGAAGGGTGGAGCTCTGGGCTTGGGCCACGATGTGATTCCTGCCATGGAGATGGAAAGTCTGTGTCTTTAAGAACATTTTCAAGGAAGAAAATAGAAATTCCATCCCCGTAAGACACGGGTTCCTGCCTCCCTGGGTGGAGCTCTGGGCTCCGTGCCTATGTGTCAGCCCGTGCGTGGCTCTGACAGGCGGGTGTGTGTCTGCAGGACATGAGCATCCTGTGTGCCGTGGATGACATTCAGCTGCTCCTCGATGACCACGTGATAAAGACACAGACCATGTGCGGCTCCCCCTTCATCAAGCCAATAGAAACCGAATGCCGGGTAAGGTGAAAGGGGCGATTTTGTGACATCCGGGTGGCTCTTGGTTTCTTGGAGGAGGGAGGGAGAAGGTTTTTAAGTTCATCTAACAAACAAATTTATTGTCTCCTGCTCGGAAAAAAGTAACACGTGACTAAAAGCACGTAACCATCCAAGTAAGCATGTTGCGTGCTGAGCCTGTGCAAATCTGCCAAAAGGAAACGTGAGATGGCTTGAATGTACCAAGTAAAAATGCATTGGAAAGTATGTGAGTGTCAGCGGAGCTAGCGTACTCCCGAGTGTAACCTGCCGGAGGGTAGGCATGTGGCTTGTTGTGTCCTCCGGCATAGGCTAAGGGCAAAGCCCCTGAAGCCAGACGCCCTGGTTTCAAATTCTGGCTTCCTGCTTATTAACCTTGGGCAAGGCTCTTACACTGTGTCTCCATTTCTGCATTTGTAAAGTGTGAGGTGTAGTAACCTTTCCATCATCAAACTACCTGATTAAGTTAGTTTTCACATGCATGAAGCACTCAGCCCATCCCTGTTATAGTAATATCTAGGGGCCTGGTGCACGAAGATTTGTGCACTGTGGGGGGGGGGACGTGGGGGAGGGGTCCCTCAGCCCGACCTGCACCCTCTCCAATCTGGGAGCCCTCAGGGCAAGCCCCTCCTCCAATCCGGGAGTTTCCGTCTGTCTTTGCAATCATATGAACGAATTGTTCTGAGACCCCAACCCAGTTTGGTTTGTTGCTCACAGAATAAATAGAGGCTTTTTTTTTTTTCTTTGCTTCACTGGTGGAGATTCCTGGAAGTTTTAGGATATTGTCCCTTTAATTTTTCCTAGACACTCAGATTTTACTTATGTCTCTCACCTTTGCTTTCCCTCCACCCCTCACTGCAAGAGTAACTTGCTCCAGGCTCACTTTGCTCTAGTGCAGTGATGGCGAAGCTTTTGAGCTCAGCGTGTCAGCATTTTGAAAAACCCTAACTTAACTCTGGTGCCGTGTCACATATAGAAATTTTTTGATATTTGCAACCATAGTAAAACAAAGACTTATATTTTTGATATTTATTTTATATATTTAAATGCCATTTAACAAAGAAAAATCAACCAAAAAATGAGTTTGCGTGTCACCTCTGACACACGTGTCATAGGTTTGCCATCACTGATCTAGTGTCTAGGACAGCCGTGGGCAAACTACGGCTCGCGGGCAAGATCTGGCCCGTTTGAAATGAATAAAACTAAAAAAAAAAAAAAAGACCGTACCCTTTTATGTAATGATGTTTACTTTGAATTTATATTAGTTCACACAAACACTCCATCCATGCTTTTGTTCCGGCCCTCCGGTCCAGTTTAAGAACCCATTGTGGCCCTTGAGTCAAAAAGTTTGCCCACCCCTGGTCTAGGAGATCCATCTGCCACCAGAACTATGATTCCCAGCATTCCTGGTGCTCCCCGCGCTCTGGGTTTTCTCTGACCCAGGGAGCCATGTCCCCCCAAGCTGCCGGCTCTCCCACTGTGCTCTGTGTATGCATATTATCCGCCATCTTTGTCGGGTTAATTTGCATATTCACTCCTCATTGTCTGGTGGGTGTGGCTTGGGCGTGGCTTGAGCATAGTGGAGGGATGGCTAATTTGCATGTTTCTCTTTTATTATATAGGATAATCCTATATAATAAAAGGCTAGTATTCAAATCGACCGAACTGCAGAACAACCGGTTGCTATGATGTGCATTGACCACCAGGGGGCAGACACTCAACCCAGGAGCTGCCCCCTGGTGGTCAGTGTGCTCCCACAGGGGGAGCACCGCTCAGCCAGAAGCTGGGCTCACGCCTGGTGAGCGTAGCGCCAAGGATGTCTGACAGACGGCTTAGGCCCGCTCCCCATCAGTTGGACATCCCCTGAGGACACCCAGACTGCGAGAGCGCACAGCCCAGGTTGAGTTAATCCCAGGCCTCTAGTTATATACAATAGCACTATATGATCATTATCATTAGTGTTACCATTATTCCACCAGAATGCGAGCTCAGTGAGGGCAAGGAACTCCCCTGGTTTCACTTCATTGGCTGTATTCACATTGCCTAGAACGGGTGACCCAGAAACACCAGGGGCCACTAAACAGTGTTAAAACAAGGGGAAATGAGTGATAAACAGCTGTTGTGATGCTGGGGTGGGCAAGGTTATTTGACTTAGATTTAAAATGCTAAATTCCGCAGAAGTCGGGAAGAAAAAGCCAAGTCCCGTTGCAGGACCACTTTTGAATGCTTGGTTTGAAAATGTCTAGGCCATCCTGGCTGTACCTGGAGCCGATCTTCAGCTCCGAGGACATCACAGCCCAGATGCCAGAAGAGGGCAGGAAGTTCGCCATCGTGGACGGGTACTGGAAGTCCCTCATGTCCCAAGCGGTAAGCTCCCCGCCCCAGCACCTCTCAGGGCGGAGCGGCTGCCACACACATGCTCCTCGTTGTGCGTTGTCGCCAGGCCCCTTAAAACTTGTCAGTAACCTAGAGTTTTGCAGATTTGATATTGTATATTTCTTCCAATTTCAAAAGTTGTTATTAAAAGTTTAAACGTGGGTAGATGTAATATAGAAAATGGAGGCCATGATATCCCCCCTCCCCAGCAGTGAGCACCAGCAGTTGTGTAACTTAGCTGTCATTCCGTGAGGGGAAGACTGTTTATTGCCGGTAAAGCTTTTACAGATTGAGAATCCTTTCAGAATTCAAATGATTGTCCACATTCAGTTATGCGGATATTTAACAAATGTTTATTCAGTACCTACATGGACCCAGACGTTGTACTAGGAGTCAGAAAAACACTTGAAGATGACAAGAATATGATATCTGCCTTCATGGCATTCCCTGCTTTGTGAGGAGGCAGACTTAGATACATAAGAGCTATAAGGGAAGTCACGCATGAAGATTTGAGAAGGCAGGAAAGTGATGTAGTGCCCGGGGCACGCCAGAGAAGCCTCCAGGGGGTGACGTTGGGAACAAGCCTCCAAGTGTGAGTGCACTGGGCAGACAGTATCAGGGAGATGAATTTTTTTCCTTTTGGAAGTCAAGTGTGCTCAAATTGGGGTGCATTTATAAAGAATTTGTCTCAAGGGAACTTACCTGCCTGCTGTTTGTAGGAATGAGTTAAGTGGTAATTTATATCACTTGGCCAACAGAGCCAATTTGCATGATATCCTGCTTCCTCTGACTTCATATTAGCTGAGAGTTTGGGTAGCAAGTATTGGAAACCTTCAAGGTAGTGCAAAAATAAAAAAGACCGAACGGGTGTCTCGTGGAACCCGAGGGCGGGAAGTGTATCATGGAAGCTCTGGGCCCAGCGGTTCCGCAGGAAACCCTGGAGTGCCCTCTCCATGCCGCTTCCTCCGGGCTGCAGGCCAGCGTGCTCCGCCCCGGTCACAGCATGGAAGCTGATCTGCACGCAGCTTCAGGGGCCAGCCACACGAGTGAGGGTGTCCTCATCCGAATTCCAAAGCCCAGCAGTGAAAATAGCATTGGCTTGGTTGGTTTCAGTTGCCCAACCCCCTCCCAGTCAACCCCAGCCAGAGGAGCAGGGTCCTGCTATCTGAGCGCTCTCCCTTTGGGGCTGGGAGACACTTTGCTGGGTGGGGCATCGTCAGTTGAGGCGCTGGTCACACCCTCATGTAATGACGGCTCTCGGGGTCCGGGAGCCCCTGGTGAGTCCTCTCCTCTGGCGGAACGCAGGTGAAGGATCCCAGGGTCCTGATGGCGGCCGACCAGCCCCGCATGGCTGAGAAGCTCCAAGAAGCCAACACTCTGCTGGAGGACATCCAGAGGGGGCTGAACGACTACTTGGAGAAGAAGAGGCTGTTTTTCCCCAGGTACTCGTTACTGCCCTTGGCTTTGGAGTGGCCTTCCTGACCGTACGGAGTGGAATGAGTTTTCACGCTGCGAGTTGGCTCCTGTCTGTTCCATGTTCTTTCCAGGTTTCCCATTCCCTGAGACAGCTCTCAGGGCTGAGGATGCTCATGACTGTTACTTAGAGGGAGGTTGAATGGGCACCAGGGGGCCAACTCCACACTTTGGCCGACCAACATGCTCAATACCCACCCAGGGGAGTATCATCATCGTGATTAAGGGCCCGGACCTTGGAGTTAAACAGCCCTTAGTGTGAGTCCCAGCTCTTCCGCTCTGAGTCCATCCCAGCCTCCGTTCTCCGAGTAGGAGAGATGGGACAAGGCCCTCCCTCCCGCACCTGCTGTGCATTTCAATTGCGACAACGCATGTAAAGCAGCCAGCTCCCAGACCACGTGCTCGAGCACTGCCAGCTAAGTGTTTGGCTAGCGAATGCTGTAGTTTCTGGTAGGTATGTTTATAAATATATGACTCTTTTTCCACAAGAACCAATGTTCTTCCGCATCAAGGTCAGGCGGGTCCCAGGAAGGAGGGTCCTCACCCCTGACCATCTGTCACGTCTCGCTGACCATGCATGGGCGCTCCGTGGCACTTGATTCTAATTAGGATACAAGTTTGATCCTAACTTGCCTTTAAGGAACTCACACCTTAGTGTCCCCTACATGGAGACAAAGTTAGTTCTCTGCTTTCCACCCCAAAAAAGTGGGTTGTTTAGGATTCAGAAATGTCCTTAGCGTCTACTTAAGGCAGTATAGTCCAGTAGAACTTGACTCACTGACAGAGATGTTCTACTTATACTTGTGCTGCCCAGTGCAGTAACTGTGAGCCACATGTGGCTATCCCGCACTTCAAATGTGGCTAGTGTAACTGAGAAGGAAAATTTTAATTTATTTAGTATCCTTTTTTAAAATGTATATTTGTATTGATTTCAGAAAGGAAGGGAGAGGGAGAGAGAGACAGAAACATCAATGATGAGAGAGAATCATTGATCAGCTGCCTCCTGCACGACCCCTACTGGGGATTGAGCCTGCAACCCGGGGATGTGCCCTTGACCGGAATCAAACCCCAGACCCTTTAGTCCTCAGGCCGATGCTCTTCCACTGAGCAACAGCAGCTAGGGTTATTCAGTATTCATTTTAAAATATAAGTAGCCACCGGTGTCTAATGCCTTTAGTATTGGATAACACAGATAAGGAACCTCTATTTGAAAGCACAGAACTTGGGCAGAGGACATTTCTAAGACTTGGGCTTCTGGTCCTATACCCATGACTGCTGTTCCTCATAAAATGCAAGCACAGTACTTACCAGGAGCAGGACGTGCTCTGAGTGCTTTGTGTGTGTGACTTGGAACTATTATTTTT